AAATCTAAGAATGAAAACAAATATTTCCAATCCATGGTTGCTGTTTCTCATAATAGCATTTTCCATCCTTATATCATCTCTGAAATTATTTCCCCATGAAACTTTAATATAATCAAATACTTCTGATATAAATGATAATAATAATGAGAAATTACACCTGCATGTTCTTTCTTTTGGTCTGTAGAAACAGCCTGCAGGAACTAATTCTCCTGTGCAAGGGGAAAATATCTCATTTTAATTATTGTGTGCTGGGCTCTAGGGATCATGGCAACAAAGTTTACATTGCTAACTTTATGCATACATCTTTTTAAATAGCAGTCAAAAGAAGAGTGTTTGTATATATCTGTTTGTGTATCTATCTATATCTTTGTGCTTTCAAACCAGTGTTGACTCCTCATGACTGCCTGGACAAGTCCCTGCAGTTTTCTTGGCAAGGTTTATCAGAAGTGCTTTCCCATTGCCTGCTTCCTAGGGCTAAGAGGAGCCCAGCTGGCTTTGTGCCTAAGGGAGGACTAGAACTCATGGTCTCCCAGTTTCTAGCCTAACCACTTCATCAAACTGGCTCTCTCAAAGAAAAATAACACAGATAAATTATGCAAGTAATTAAAAAAGTGACCAGAGCTAAAAAAAAGTTTTACAAAGGATTCCAAATATCTTGGTGAGTGATGTTTCTGCTTAAAAAACACATAATTATGAAATATATTAGAGGATAGGAATGTGTGAATATGTGTTTGTTTATCTCCTTGATTTTGATGGATATATTTTTAGCATTACTCACACACAAACCAAACAGAAATATTGGTACTAAAGCAAAACACATCATTATCTACCTTCATCGCCGTTATGGAAAAAAGGGTAAATCAATGTGACAGTTACACTGAACTATTTTATTCATGACAGAACCTCTAAAGAATGCAGAAGCCAAATCTTCTTGCCTTTAAACTGTCCTATTGCTTTGGTTCTGGAATTCAGCATGAACACGTCTGAAGTTTTGTTTAATACTTAACACATGTAGAAATGCTTTCTATTCTCTTCTATTGGAGACAAGGAGTCCAGAACTACTCTTCCCCCGCCCCCATCATTCAATCATCTGTCTAACAGTCTACTTTACCAGTATGTTGATAACTGAATTTTATCCCTTTTCAGTGATGGGATTCCTTTTCATTCAGGTCCAAATGCTGCTTAGTGGTTTCAGGTGGCAAACAGATTATAGCCATGAAAAAAGTGTTCTATTGTTCTGTAAAAATGTTAGAACATACATTTTATTTCATAATGGAGAGCTTTGTACTATGAAAAATATTTTATGTGTTGCAGTCCACTCTTTTATTTGGACTGTGACAACATAGTCTGTGTATAGCTGTTTCTGGTAAATGAGTCATAGGATCTAAATGATTTTCAGTGGTATGACCAGCAGATAACATAGTTGTCCTTCAGCAGTGACCGTGTATTTGAATCTTGCATTTTGTTTATTGTGGCTTGATGGTTATTCACAATTTCTGTACTATATATTAAACTTTAGAAAATGGTCATACAGTATGATGGTGCCAACATTCATTAAGTTTAGTCTGAACTAACACTGACTCTCCCAGACAAGCATCTTTCTTGGCTATCACTAGGGAATGAACCTGAGATCTTTGGTGTAGAAAACATTTTGGCCATGACATCAAAGAACAAGCTAACTAAAACACACACACACACACACAACCCAAGTAAATTCTACCATTTTATATACAATCAGTCCCTGGGTTAAGAACAAGATCCGTTCCTGACTTTAACTCAAATTTGTATGTAAGTCAGTACTCATACTTACAAATAGGCTGCCTATTACTACAAATGGCAGACAGCATTCTCCTTCCTTGAGCTGAAGAATCACTGAAGCCGTGCAATGTTGTCATAAACTACTGAAAACAGATTGCATTCCAAAAAAGATGTGGCTTCAGTGGTTCATGAAATCACTGAGCGGCTTCAGTAGTTCATCAGCTCTAGGAAGGAGAATGCCATCTGCCATTTGTAGTAATAGGTAGCCCATCTATAAGTAAGAATTCCGACTTACGTACAAATTCAAGTTAAAGATTTAGGAATGGATCTCATTGTTGACCCGAGGACTGCCTATAATCACATTTTTGAATTTATCATTATAAGAAGAATTAAGGATTATTGAGCATGGGTTGCAGCAACAAAACAAAATGAAAAGGAGATTCCTGTCCAATGTCAGAAAAGCAGTGCAATGACTGGGTTAATGATATGTGCTCATTTTCTGTTTAGGACCTGGCTCTATAAAAATACCATGAAAAGTTTTAATGATCTGCTTTGAAATTGTGAATATCAATGTAAACATGAAGTACCATCTCAACTCACAATAAATATGGCACAGCCCATAATGTATATAGGCTATTTTATTTTTGTCCTTTGAACATGGCAGATATTTGCCCTGTAACCTTTACTGAGTGCAATTTGACAGAATTCACTCTCCACCTTTCCCATTCTTGATCCAGTCATCTCCCAGTGTTATCAGATCAAGGGTGAGACGCCCTGTCCCTGTGATACCACCCTTTGATCAAATGGCTATGATTATATTAACCATTAATGGCCCATTTGAAAGGATGATTCTTATTTGAGAATGGGTCTGTTGATCACTAAATTTAATATTCCTCTAGGCCTTGTTTTGCCTTTCCAATATATTTTAGGTTTCATAAAAGCAAGTGCTCAAAGAGCAAGGGATCATGTACATGTGCATATAGTAAGGCAGAAGACAGATATCAAGTGAATGTTGGTAGATATAGCAGAACCAAGAGTTGTTAATGCCCATCTAATACACCATTCTTTTTTATTTATTTGTGCTCCTGGACCAACAAAGTACAGGTACACATTTTTAAAACACAGAGAGAAACAAACCTAAAGCCACATAAGTGGATAAAAAACAATTTCAGCAAGCCATAGCTATTGCTAGAAACTTGGCAAGCTTTGTAGTGTTTGCCCAAGTTAGGTCTTGCAGAAGGAAGATTGTAACCTCTTGATCAGAAAGAAAACTAAAAATTCTGATAATCGGGTTAATGAGCACCAGACACCAAAGATGCTGCAATGGGCAATGTAACAATAAATGGATTATTGGCTCAACAGGGTTAGGGCTAATCTAATCTCAGGTGATAAGCTATTTCAGACGGAAAGTGCTATGACCAAAAAGTCAGGTTTCCAGGGTCCAACAAGACATCATTCTTCTGAAGAGACCCAAAGCATACCCTACCTACCAGATCTAACAGGGCAGGTAGAGACAACTCTACAGAGATGGCCTTCAAGTATCCCAAATCTTCTGTTTAAGACTGATTAAGGCTTTATTAAACAATGATTTTGCCTGGAGGGAGACTCAGGGATGAGGAAAATTTATCTAGTAGTGTGAGATGAAGGACTCACACAAAATATTTGTTACAATCAAAATCTCAGGTAGCAAAGTCTCAAGTGCACCCCAAGGGAAATGCTAAAACTGAATAAGGGCATTTGAAGTTGAGCAAGGAACACAAATAATAGTTTTTAGAAATTTAGACTGAACAGCTTCTAATTCAGGGGCATCTTTATGAACATAAAGCTCAGCATCATGTAGCAAGAAGCCCAGAACCTTTGTTTCATATAGTTTAATTGCTACAGCTATTTCCTTAATAACTAGTATGTTTAAGAATTGTGTTAGAGACTTCTGGGGTTTTGACTGAAAGCCTCCTCAACTGATTATTCCAACAGGTGCAAGACTAGCTGTGGATGCCTAGATCCTTAACTTGGTCAGTTGGTGTTTGTTAATTTTCCATCCAATAAGGAACTTAAAGTGCTTTCTCCAGAGAACTAAAACTTTGGTTTTCGAGAAGTTAGTAAAAATCCCCTAGAACACTAGGATGCTGTTGCATTAAAGATAAAATGGCAACATGGTCTGCACACAGAATAACTGTAATACACTGATGGGGAAGTCTTGGAGGGTGAAATTCAAAATATTAGATAATTTAAATTATAACAAAATTATAGTATAACTTTCATTATGCTTAAAGTTCATAAATATATACTCATGCAAACAGTGATGAAATCATATGAACAGTTGCAGCAACATAGCAGTATTTTGTGAACTTTACTGAATTTTTTTTTTTTTTTTTGTCTGCGCTCAGTCATGGCTGACCCTGCAGTGACTGCCTTTGGACAAGTCCTTTGCAGTTTTCAAGGCAACTGTTTTCGGAAGTGGTTTGCCAGAGCCTCCTTCCTAGGGCAGAGCCCAG